GAGGGGGATTGCGAGCGTTGAAAAGGGCACAGATGAAGACTTCTTCGTCATCGTTGTGTTTTTTTTTTTTTTTTTTTTATTGTTATTTTTATTGAATGATGAGTTTACCGCTCTCATGCACTTAATCCACCTTTTCCCCCTCCCCTTCCTTTTTTCTTCACCCCCTCCACACACACACACACACACTTCTTTTTTGTTATTTTTATTTATTCATTCTTTTTTTTTTTTTTTTTATTGCCGCACAATACATGACACAATCCTTTCAAGAGGAGAGAGAGAAGAGAGAAAATAAAAAGAAATAAAAATAAAAAAAAAAAAAGAGGAACAGACGCACGGAATTTTTGAGAGGGGAAAAAAGCAAAGGGAAGGAAGGAAAGAAAGAGGGAGCAGAAACGGGGAGGTTTTTGTTTTTGTTTTTGTTTTTTTTATTTTATTTATTTGAATTTCCACGCCTCCTTCGCTTCCTCTTCTCACACACACACACACACTTTCTCTCTCTCTCTCTCTCCGCCCTCCACACCCCCTCATCTCCTTTTTTCTTTCACCCCTCTGTCCCCTCCCCATTCCCCTTCCCCCTCCATCGACATTATTTCAGTGCATCGTTTGGTTTTTTTGTTGTTGTTGTTGTTTTTTTGTTATGTTTTTTTTTTTTTATTTCTTGTTGTTGTTGTTGTTGTTTTCATACGCTGCCATTGATATCAATGAAGCAAAAGACACGTACACACACACACACACACACACATACCGTACGATACGATACATGTGAATAGGAACAACAGACGGTTTTGAATATTCCGCAAAGAAGGAGGAGGATGAATAGAAATGTGTATTATTTTGTTTGTTTGGTTGTTGTTGTTTTTGTTTGTTTTTGTTTTTCTCCTCCTCCTCCGTCTTTCATTCAATTGAAGAGGTACGGTTGAAGGTGATAAATAGAGCAACGATAAGTGTGCAATATAAACCAGCAAGAAAGAAAAAGAAAAAAAAAGACAAAGAGAGAGACAGAGAAGTGTTTTGCGAAGCGAACGGGTGCAAGTTGTGAGGTGGTGGCACTACGGCCATTGACTGAACGTGATTTTGAAGGAAAATAAACAAAATAATAATCAAAAAGAAAAAAAAAAAGATAATAAAATATATATATATATATATGCATTTTGAGGAAATGTCATTTAAAAAAAAAAAAAAACTATTTATTTATTTATTTATTTATTTAAAGAAATGAAAAGAAGGAAATTCTTTTGTTTTTTGTTGCTTTTCTTTGCTTTAGTTTGCTTTTTTTTTTTTTTTTTCTTTTTTTACTGTCCTTCTCTCTTTTTCTCTCTCTTCTATGCGTGTGTGTTTGCCTGCGTGTGTAGGGGTAGGGAAGCGAAAGGAAGGGAAGGGAAGGGGGATGGTGGGAGGAGGAGGTGTTTCCTGCGAGAGGGGGTTTTCGTTTGTTTTTTTGTTTTTTGTTTTTTGTTGTTTTGAGGGACGTCGGGTTGAGACTCTCTGGTTGTCCGCCTGTTTGTGTTGGCTGCTGGCGTTGTTATTTCTTTGGTAGTGGAGGTGCGTTCGTCTTTTGTTTTATATTTATATATAAATAAATATACATGCATGCATGCATACATGCTTCTGGCGGCTGCAGGGGAGGTTGGGGGGACGTGGAAGGGAAGTAAACTCTACTCTTCGCCCCTCCCCCTACCCTCCCCACCCACCCGGAAGGAA